CAAACCACCTACCAGATCGCCAACCTGCTCGCCAACCAGACCAACTACCAGATCGCCAACCCGACCTCCAATCTAATCGCCAACCTTACCCACAACCAGCCCGCCAACCGGACCTCCAACCAGATCGCCAACCTGCTCGCCAACCTGACCTCCAATCTAATCGCCAAATTTACCCACAGCCAGCCCGCCAACCGGACCACCTACCAAATCGCCAACCTGTCCCACAACCTGCTCGCCAACCGGAACTCCAATCTAATCCCCAACCTGTCTCAGAACCGGCTCGCCAACCTCACCCACAACCTTACCCACAGCCGGCGCCCCAACCTGCTCGCCAACCTGACCTCCAGTCTAATCGCCAACCTGTCCAGCAACCCGCCCGCCAACCGGACCTCCAACCTGCTCGCCAACCGGACCTCCAATCTAATCTCCAACCTCGCCCACACCCTTACCCCCACCTTTACCCACAACCGGCTCGCCAACCGGACCTCCAAACTCCCCGTCAACCGGACCCACAGTTTGATCGCCGACCTCACCCGCAACCTGCCCAGCAACCCGATCGCCAACCTTTCCCAAACCTACCTCGCCAGCCTCACCCACAGCCCGCCGCCGCCCAGCCCGCCGCCGTCCAGCCCGCCGCCGCCGCCAGCCCGCCGCCCCAGCCCGCCGCCGCCGTCCAGCCCGCCGCCGCCAGCCCCCCGTCCAGCCCGCCGTCCAGCCCGCCTCCATCCGGCAGAATCGTCCCGTGGATCGGCTGGTGTCTCTGGGGAAGCCGCTCCAGGTGAGGCTCCACATTTACTTTTTTTTTTTTTTTTTTTTAATCAGAGGAAGCTCGTTTTCCTCGGCCTCGGGCAAAAACGCGATTTGAATTTTAAAGCGGCGTTTTGTGAGGTTTTCGTGCAAACTTTTATAATCGTTGCGACAAGTCCAGCTCCGTCTGATCCGCGGCGCCTGAACTGAACCTGACCTGAGGTTGGCAGGAGCAGCAGCTGACAGGAGCTGACAGGAGCTGACAGGAGCAAAAGGAGCCAAAAGTGTGAGTGATGAGAGTTTAAAAAAAAATCCTCACGACATGAATAAATAATAAAAACTCTCCAAACGTCGACTTTTAAACAACAAGAAATAAAATCAAACTGAACGAGATGAAAAAAACACAAATGTAGAAAATAACTTCACATCGACACATAAAACTTTTGACACTTTAGACTCAGAGTCGGAAGAAGAAGTACTTTTACTCAAGTAACAGTACTGCTACACTGTATATTACTCAAGTTGTAGTAGTTGCTGGAGTACTAACTGTATTACTAGTAATAGTAGTAGTAGTAGTAGTAGTCGCTGGAGTATTAGTGTAGTACTAGTAGAAGTTGTTGTAATAGTTGTAGCGGAGGGTTGGAGTTGTAGTAGTAGTACTTGTCACTGGAGTACTCCTTGTAGTAGTAGTAGCTGGAGTAGAGGTTGTAGTAGTAGTAGTTGTAATCGTAGTAGTAGTAGTAGTAGTAGTAGTAGTAGTAGTCACTGGAGTACTCCTTGTAGTACTAGTAACTGGAGTAGAGGTTGTAGTAGTAGTAGCAGCAGCAGCAGTATGAGTAGTAGTAGTAGTACTAGTAGTAGCTGTAGTAGTGGCAGGGTTTGCATTGTATTAGTTGTAGTAGTAGTAGTAGTAGCAGTAGTAGTAGTCACTGGAGTAATAGTTGTAGTACTAGTAGTAGTAGCTGGAGTAGAGGTTGTAGTAGTTGTAACTGGGGTAGTAGAAGTAGTAGTAGTACTAGTAGAAGTAGTAGTAGTCACTGAAGTTGTAGCTGTAGTACTAGTAGGATAGTACCTGGAGTAGAAGTTGTAGTAGTAGTAGTAGTAGTAGTAGCAGTCACTGGAGTACTAGTTGTAGTACTAGTAGTAGCTGCAGTAGAAGTTGTAGTAGTAGTGGCAGGGTTTGAGTTGTATTAGTAGTAGTAGTGGTAGTTCGAGTAGTTGCTGGAGTACTAGTTGTAGTACTAGTAGAAGTAGTTGTAGTAGTCATTGGAGTATTAGTTGTTGTAGTAGTAGTAGTAGATGGAGCAGAGGTTGTAGTAGTTGTAACTGGGGTAGTAGCAGTAGTAGTAGTGGAAGTTGTAGTAGTAGTAGTAGTCACTGGAGTACTAGTTGTAGTACTAGTAGTAGCTAGAGTAGAAGTTGTTGTAGTAGTACTAGAACAAGTAGTAGTAGAAGCTGTACTAGTAGTAGTCATAGTAGTACTTTGAATATCTTCCGTAGTAAAAACTGGATTCATAAAACCAGAAGATGGACTAAACCAGGACTAAACCAGGACTAAACCAGGACTAAACCAGGACTAAACCAGGACTAAACCAGGACTAAAACCAGGACTAAAACCAGGTAAAACCAGGACTAAACCAGGACTAAACCAACTAAACCAGGACTAAAACCAGGACTACTAAACCAGGACTTAAAACCAGGACTAAAACTAAAACTAAAACCAGGACTAAACCAGGACTAAAACCAGGACTAAACCAGGACTAAAACCAAGGACTAAACCAGGACTAAACCTAAACCAGGTCTAAACCAGGACTAAACCAAGGACTAAACCAGGACTAAACCAGGACTAAAACCAGGACTAAATCAGGACTAAACCAGGACAAAACCAAGACTAAACCAGGTCTAAACCAGGACTAAAACCAGGACTAAATCAGGACTAAACCAGGACTAAACCAGGTCTAAACCAGGTCTAAACCAGGACTAAACCAGGACTAAACCCAGGACTAAACCAGGACTAAACCAGGACTAAAACCAGGACTAAACCAGGACTAAACCAGGACTAAAACCAGGACTAAACCAGGACTAAACCAGGACTAAACCAGGACTAAACCAGGTCTAAACCAGGACTAAACCAAGGACTAAACCAGGACTAAACCAGGTCTAAACCAGGACTAAACCAGGTCTAAAACCAGGACTAAACCAGGACTAAATCAGGACTAAACCAGGTCTAAACCAGGTCTAAACCAGGTCTAAAACCAGGACTAAACCAAGACTTAACCAGGTCTAAACCAGGACTAAACCAGGACTAAACCAGGTCTAAACATCTCCATGTCGTTCTAAAACACATTCACAAACCTTTTATTTTTTTTTTATCGATAAATGTGAAAAATTTGGATCTACTTTCGATATTATTTTAAGAATCGATTCTTGTCCGATCTCGATGCTCCTGTGAGTCCAAACGTCGACAGAAAATAACACAAACACAAAAAAAGAATGTAAATTTGAGTGGGGAAGGAGAGGAGCGAGGGATGAATAAAAAGATGAATCGAGTCTTTTGGACGGAGTTTAGGATGAATCACTGCCTCCAGGAGACGCATGAATATTTAAGTCCCGCTCGGAAAAGGGAAAAAAAATAAAAAAATCAGCTGCCGGTGTTGAATTCTCCTTAAATAATCATCAAATAATCGTCGGGATCAGATGAAAAGCGGCGTTTGGATCAGGTGAGGACAGATCCCCGTGTGTCAGATGCCCTCCCACAGTCTGTCAGATCATGAAACAAAACAACAAACTGAACTAAAGTAAAAAAAAAAAAAAAAGTGGAAAGTAACTACAAATACTCGAGTAACTGTATTTAAGTAAATGTTTGGGGTTAATGTAAGTGGAATTTTTGAGTAAATCAGGACTAAACCAGGACGAAATTAGGACTAAATCAAGACCAAACCAGGATTAAAAAAGGACTAAAGCAGGACTAAACCAGGATTAAAACCAGGACTAAATCAGGACTAAAACCAGGACTAAATCAGAACTAAAACCAGGACTAACTAAATCAGGACTAAATTAGGACTAAATTACAACTAAATCAAGACTAAACCAGGATTAAAAAAGGACTAAATCAGGAATAAACCAGGACTAAAACAGGGTCTAAATCAGGACTAAATTAGGACTAAACCAGGTCTAAACCAGGACAAAAACAGAACTAAATCAGGACTAAATTATTACTAAACCAGGACTAAATTAGGATTAAACCAGGACTAAACCAGGAATAAATTAGAACTAAATCAGAACTAAACAGGGACTGAACCAGGTCTAAACCAGGACTAAAACCAGGACTAAAACCAGGTCTAAAACAGGTCTAAATGAAGACTAAACCAGGATTAAACCAGAACTAAACCAGGACTAAACTAAGACCAAATCAGAACTAAACCAGGACTAAACCAGGTCTAAACCAGAACTAAACTAAGATTAAACAAGGACTAAATCATGATTATCTCAGGACTAAACCAGGATTAAACCTTTAGTTTATTTCTCCTGACAGAACAGACTTGGCTGTAATATTCCTCAGTGCGGCATTAAACGTGTCTGTCTCCCTGGAAAATGTTTCGAAGCTTCAAACTTTTCCAAGAAAGTTCCACATTGTAGCTTTTTCTTTACTAAACTATATCTTTGGTTTCCGTATGAAACGTAAAAACTGAGAAAAAAAAATAAAAAATCACAGAAATAGAAAGTGTCCAAACCAGCCCCGGAGTCTGGTCCCGTTATTACTCCGAGTCCCGTCTTGATGAGCTCAGGTCGTCTGTGTCTTGTGACCAGGTGGACTGTGTGGCCTCGGGTCGACCTGAACCCGTCGTGACCTGGAGCCTCCCGGACGGGTCCACGGTGCGCGGCTCGTCTCCGGGGGCGGGCGAAGCGGCGCTCGGACGACGCCTGACGGTGTTCGCCAACGGGACCCTGCTGCTGTGGGCGGCGGGCAGGAGCGACGAGGGCGAGTTCACCTGCCGCGCCCACAACCGAGCCGGAACCGACACCATGAAGGTAAAACGCCACAAACAACAACGACCTGAAGTACTTTACACAACGACCTGAAGTACTTTACACAACGACCTGAAGAACTTTACACAACGACCTGAAGAACTTTAACAAACGAAAGAACTTTACACAACGACCGGAAGAACTTTACACAACGACCTGAGAGACTTTACACAACGACCGGAAGAACTTTACACAACGACCTGAAGAACTTTACACAACGACCTGAAGTACTTTACACAACGACCTGAAGAACTTTACACAACGACCGGAAGAACTTTACACAACGACCTGAAGAACTTTACACAACGACCTGAAGAACTTTACACAACGACCTGAAGTACTTTACACAACGACCTGAAGAACTTTACACAACGACCTGAAGAACTTTACACAACGACCTGAAGAACTTTACACAACGACCTGAAGTACTTTACACAACGACCTGAAGTACTTTACACAACGACCTGAAGTACTTTACACAACGACCTGAAGTACTTTACACAACGACCGGAAGTACTTTACACAACGACCTGAAGTACTTTACACAACGACCTGAAGAACTTTACACAACGACCTGAAGTACTTTACACAACGACTGAAGAACCTGAAGAACTTTACTTTACACAACGACCTGAAGTACACAACGACCTACTTTACACAACGACCTGAAGAACTTTACACATGAAGAACTTTACACAACGACCGGAAGTACTTTACACAACGACAACGACCTGAAGAACTTTACACAACGACCTGAAGTACTTTACACAACGACCTGAAGAACTTTACATGACTTGAAGAACTTTACACAACGATGAAGAACTGAAGAACTTTACACAACGACCTGAAGAACTTTACACAACGACCTGAAGAACTTTACATGACTTGAAGAACTTTACACAACGACCTGAAGAACTTTACACAACGACCTGAAGAACTTTACACAACGACCTGAAGAACTTTACACAACGACCTGAAGAACTTTACACAACGACCTGAAGAACTTTACACAACGACCGGAAGAACTTTACACAACAACCTGAAGAACTTTACACAACGACCTGAAGAACTTTACACAACGACCTGAAGAACTTTACATGACCTGAAGAACTTTACACAACGACCTGAAGTACTTTACACAACGACCTGAAGAACTTTACACAACGACCGGAAGAACTTTACACAACGACCTGAAGAACTTTACACAACGACCTGAAGAACTGAAGAACTTTACACAACGACCTGAAGAACTTTACACAACGACCTGAAGTACTTTACACAACGACCTGAAGAACTTTACACAACGACCGGAAGTACTTTACTTTACACAACGACCTGAAGAACTTTACACAACGACCTGAAGAACTTTACACAACGACCTGACTTTACACAACGACTGAAGAACTTTACACAACGACCTGAAGAACTTTACACAACGACCTGAACAACTTTACACAACGACCTGAAGTACTTTACACAACGACCTGAAGAACTTTACACAACGACCTGAAGAACTTTACACAACGACCTGAAGTACTTTACACAACGACCTGAAGTCTCACGAGGAACGTTTGAGGAACTTCAGGTTCAAGGTTTTCTCTCGCAAAATGTGTTTGTGTCATTTATTCTTTTGTTTTTCAAAATAAAACCAAAAATAAGAAAATGAAAAAACAACTATTTTCTTCATTATTTGTCTCCAAAACCAAAAATGAAAAAAAAAAAAAAAAAAAAACAGATAATGATTCGTTTTTTTCAGTTTTCGATTTTGTTTTTGTTTAAATGAAAAATGGGGGAAAAAAAACTGATAACTGATAATGGTCCTGGTTTGGTCCTGGTCCCAGTTCTGGCCTGGTCCCGATCTAATCTCGGTCTGGTCCCAGTCGCAGTCCTGGTCTGGTCCCGATTTTAGTCCTGGTCTGGTCCTGGTCCCAGTTCTGGCCTGGTCTGGTCTTATCTCGGTCTGGTCCTGGTCTAGTCTCGGTCTCAGTCCTGGTCTCAGTCCTGGTCTGGTCCTGATTTTAGTCCCGGTCTTAGGCCTGGTCTCAGTCCTGGTCTCAGTCTCAGTCTGGTCCTGGTCTGGTCCCGATCTTAGTCCCAGTTTGGTTCCAGTCTGGTCCCAGTCCTGGTTTAGACCTGGTTTAGTCCGTTATCAGTTTTTTTTTCCATTTTTCATTTAAACACAAAATCAAAAACTGAAAAATCAAATCATTATCTGTTTTTTTATTTTACTTTTGGAGACAAATAATGAAGAATTTTATTTTTTTTTTCTTATTTTTGGTTTTATTTTGAAAAACTAATGAACGAACGACACACAGATTGTGTGTAAATGTTCTGCACCTGTGGGACCCGACGTTTGTTTTCTTCTGTTTTCTTCTGTTTTCTTCTCGCTCACATTCACCTAATTTAAAAAACACAGTTTCAGACGAGTCCTTTCTGTTTCTCCGTGTTTAGATCTTAAGAAAATGAACGTCCACATCCTGCAGGATTTACAGGCAGGAACGTCACAAAATATCACAAAAATTAAATGAAAATTACAATTTCTGTAGTGTGAGGTACGAGCAGGTCTGACAGATCCTGGAGGAGTTTAAAAGAAAATGAAATAATTTTAAAGTCAGTGCGATGATGCAGGAGGAGCCGGTGGAGAGTCTGAAGGACGAGGACGTGTGGTTAAACTGAGCTGATCCAGTTAAACACGAGAGGCTGAGTTCTGCTCTCGCTGTGACCGGGAGAGAGTAAAGTGAAACAATCATCTAAACGAGAGGTGATAAAAACACAGATTCAAATTTCAAAGTTGAGAACTCTTCACCGCAGAGTTAATTTGGGCACCGAGTTTAAAGCCACAGTCCAGTTTCACGACTAAATCTGTGGCTGAGGCTCTCGGCCTGAGAAAAGAACTCGACTCTGCAGGAGAAACCACAGAGTCACAAACTTTCTCTTTTAAGAGCAGGAAGTTAGAAACCAGAGGTGGAAAAAAATACTCAAACATTTTAATTAAGTAAAAATATCTTTAATTAATTCCAACTCGAGTAAAAGTAACCATCTACATATTTACTCGAGTAACAGTAAAAAAAGTACTTCATTTAAAATGTGATTTGAGTAAAAGTGACTTAGTGACTTTCAATTATTTGATGTAAAAAGCAAAAGTTGTTTTAATTGACTTTTACCTGAAAACAGACAAACTTTGTACATTTTAAAAACAACTGAGCAGCTTAACACTTATTATTTTAACACTTATTATTTTAACACTTATTATTTTAACACTTATTATTTTAACACTTATTATTTTAACACTCACTATTTTAACACTTATTATTTTAACACTTATTATTTTAACACTTATTATTTTAACACTTATTATTTTAACACTTATTATTTTAACACTATTTTAACACTCACTATTTTAACACTTATTATTTTAACACTTATTATTTTAACACTTATTTTTAACACACTTATTATTTTAACACTATTATTTTAAACACATTTATTATTTTAACACTTTTAACACTCACTTTTTAATTATTTTAACACTTATTACTTATTTTAACACTTATTATTTTAACACTTTATTATTTTAACACTCACTATTTTAACACTTATTATTTTAACACTTATTATTTTAACACTCACTATTTTAACACTTATTTTAACACTTATTATTTTAACACTTATTATTTTAACACTTATATTTTAACACTTATTTAACACTTTTTAACATTATTTTTAACACTTATTATTTTAACACTTATTATTTTAACACTTATTATTTTAAACACACTATTTTAAACTTATTTTAACACTTATTATTTTAACACTTTATTATTTTAACACTTATTATTTAAACACTTATTTTAACACTTATTATTTTTAACACTATTTTAACACTTATTATTTTAACACTTATTATTTTAACACTTATTATTTTAACACTTATTATTTTAACACTTATTATTTTAACACTTATTATTTTAACACTTATTATTTTAACACTCACTATTTTAACACTTATTATTTTAACACTTATTATTTTAACACTCACTATTTTAACACTTATTATTTTAACACTTATTATTTTTAACACATTATTTTACACTATTTCACTATTTTAACACTTATTTATTTTAACACTATTATTTTTAACACTCACTATTTTAACACTTATTTTAACTACTTAACATTTTAACACTTATTATTTAACACTTATTATTTTAACACTCACTATTTTAACACTTATTATTTTAACACTTATTATTTTAACACTTATTATTTTAACACTTATTATTTTAACACTAATTATTTTAACACTCACTATTTTAACACTTATTATTTTAACACTTATTATTTTAACACTTATTATTTTAAACACTATTATTTTTAACACTCACTATTTTAAAACACTTATTATTTTAAACACTTATTATTTTAACACTCACTATTTTAACACTTATTATTTTAACACTCACTATTTTAACACTTATTATTTTAACACTTATTATTTTAACACTATTATTTTAACACTCACTTATATTTTAACACTTATTTTAACACTTATTATTTTAACACTTATTATTTTAACACTTATTTTTTAACACTCACTATTTTAACACTTATTTATTATTTTAACACATTTTAACACTATTATTTTTAAACACTCACTATTTTAACACTTATTATTTTAACACTTATTATTTAACACTTTTATTTTACACACATTATTTTAACACTTAACACTTATTATTTTAACACTTAACACTATTTTAACACTTATTATTTTAACACTTACTTTATTTTAACACTTATTATTTTAACACTCACTATTATTTTAACACTTATATTTTACACACTATTTTAACACTTATTATTTTAACACTTATTTTATTATTTTAACACTTATTATTTTAACACTTATTTTAACACTTATTATTTTAACTTAACACTTATTATTTTAACACTTATTATTTTAAACATTTTAACACTTATTATTTTATCACTTATTTTATTTATATTTTACACTTATTATTTTAACACTTATTATTTTACACTTATTATTTTACACTACTTTAATCACTTACTTATTTTAACACTTATTATTTTAAACACTTATTTTATTTATTATTTTAACACTTATTATTTTAACACTTATTATTTTATTCCCTGTTTTTGAACACAAAATACATTCAATAGTGAAAATGCCAAACATGCAACTTACTTTTATTTCCGGCAGATAGTTGTTTTTTTTTTCTTTATCAATCTGCTTTTATTCACTAACGAGGGCGGGTTTCAATTCCAGTGTAATGAAGTAAAATACTTGGGTCAAAATGTACTCGAGTAAAAGTAAAATTACATATTTCAAAAACCACTTAAAAAAATTACAAATTATTCATAAAAATTACGATTACAGTAACGTGAGTGAATGTAGTTCGTTACTTTCCACTACTTTTGGAAGTTCTTCCTGGAATGTTCCACAATGTGACTTTTGCGCCGTATATGGACTAAACCAGGACTAAAACAGGACTAAACCTGGACAAAACTACAACTAAAACAGGTCTAAACCAAGACCAAATCAGGACTAAAGCAAGACTAAACCAGGACTAAGACAGGACTAAACCAAATCTGAACCATGACTAAATCAGGACTAAATCAAGACTAAAACCAGGACTAAACCAGAGCTGAACCAGGACCAAACCAGGTCTAAAACAGGACTAAAACAGGACAAAAACAGGACAAAACTACGACTAAACCAGGACTAAACCAGATCTAAACCAAGACCAAATAAGGATTAAAACAAGACTAAACCAGGACTAAACCAGAACTGAACCAGATCTGAACCATGACTAAATCAGGACTAAATCAAGATTAAAACCAGGACTAAACCAGGTCTAATCTTGGTCTAGTTCTTGGACTCTAGTTCCTGGTTGGTTAAAACAAGACTAAACCAGGACTAAACCAGAACTGAACCAGATCTGAACCATGACTAAATCAGGACTAAATCAAGACTAAAACCAGGACTAAACCAGGACTAAACCAGGTCTAATCTTGGTCTAGTTCTTGGACTCTAGTTCCTGGTTGGTCCCTGCGTTGGTGGATCAGTGTGTGTCAGATCTCGTTGGGGCGTCGGTTGTTCTTCGTCTCGTGGAGCGTGGAGTTCTGCGTCGGTCCTTTCGCCCGCGGTCACCCGACGGTCTACACGGGCGTCACCTCCGACCCGACGCTCGGAACCGTAACGATGCCGTTTCACCGCCGCTGATGTCGCCGCGATGTTAGAGAATTTGTACGAAGAAAAACGAAAAACCATCCACTTCAGTCCAGGTTAAAAACGCAACAAGACGCTCGATACTCACATTTGTACACAGGAAAATATGACCGTTTTTCCCTCTAATTCTTTACATCACTGAGTTACAAAAAAAAAAATAAAAATGCAGCACAGTTACTCAGTACTTTTATCACATGTTACTCCAAACACTGGATTTATATCTCAAAAACACAGAGAAAAACTGGCAGATCTGACCTGGAACTTGGTCCGGGTTGGTTTCCGTGAAGATTGAAAGTTTTAAAGCCACACTGTGAAACATTCCAGACAAAGTAATAACATCTCCATGGAGAAAAGTGTTGGACGGAGCCTCCACCAGAAAAGTGACACCGTGCACATTTACACCGACAGTAAAATCCAGGTCGATGCTTTAAATCTCTGCAAACGTCCTTTAATTTGTGCACATAAACTGAACATTTCTGCGGCGTGAGGAAGGACGTGTGTCTAAACGGAGATTTCAGTGGATTAGAAAAGTAGAAAAGTCTTCGTGTTATAGTTTGAAATGCAAAAATGTCCCAAAATATTATCTCGCGCTTGAATAAAACATGAGGGATTCATCAATAATGTAGCTTCATTTTCCTCTTATTACTTTCGGTCGGGTTTTAAAGCTCAGACACTGACTCATGTTTCTCTCTCCTCCAGGTGAACGTCAAAATCCTGCCTTCTTCTTCTCCGCCGTCGTTCGACGACGGCGACTCTTTCCGCGTGGTCAAAGTCCAGCTGGGCACCACCGCCCGGCTGCCCTGCGCGCCCGCCGGAGACCCCGCCCCCTCCGTGACCTGGCTGTCCCCGCTGAGGCGCGTGATCCCGTGGACGTCGCGCTCCGGGTTCTACACCGAGCGGGTGGTGGTGGTGCCCGGGGGGACGCTGGAGCTGCGCGTCGCCCAAAAGCAGGACGCCGGAAACTACACGTGCCGGGCGTCCAACGGCGGCGGGACGGCGAGCAGGACGGTGCGGCTGGAGGTGGAGGTGCCCGCGGCGATTCGGAACTCAGTCCCCGGGAATCACGTTCTGAACGGGCACGTGCGGGGGGGCGGCGCGCAGGCGGGGAGGAGCGTGGTGAGCGCAGGCGTGAGCGCGAGCGGAGCGAGTCACGTCGGGTTTAGGCCGGAGCATTTTGCACTGAACAGGAATAATATCGGAGCGAACGGCGCGAATCCGCTCACGAACAGACAAAGTGTCGTTCTGAACTCGGAGACGAACAATAACGAAGTGCTGAGCAGATCTGGACCCGACGCCAACAGAAGAGACACGGACACGAGCGGCGGAGCGTCTCACTCCGGGCTCCGGCAGAGCGCGGCGGGAAACGCCAGCGCGACCTCGGGGCAGGTCCTCACCGTGAAGCAGCAGGTCACAAAGGGACAAAGTGTGTTCCTCCACTGTCCAGCAGGGGGCAGCTGGGCGCCGCGCCTCACCTGGCTCCTGCCCGGGAACACGGCCCTGGGCGCGCCTCACTACGGCGGCAGGATCACCGTGCACCGGAACGGCACCCTGGAGGTGCGGGGGGTGGGCGGGGCCGACCGGGGCAGGTTTGTGTGTGTGGTGAGGGGGGACGGGGGGGAGACCAGGCTGCAGGTGGAGCTGGAGGTGAAGGACGAGTCTCAGTCGGGCTCCAGGACTTCGGACCAGCACAGAGTCCAGACGTCCCCCCGCCCCGGGCCCCGGGCCCCCACGGGCCTCTCCGGCCCTCGGCCCGTCGCCCCGGAGCCGGCGGTCAGCACTAAGACGGCCGCTCTGGTCAGTATCATAAACGGAGAGACTCTGCGTCTGCCGTGCTCGGCTCCTCACGCGCCCGCCCGCGCCCTCGCCCACGTGTCCTGGAGTTTACCCGGCGGGCAGAGGCTGGGCACCTCACAGCGACAGGGTCTGTACTCGGTGCAGAGCGACGGGACCCTCACGGTGCAGCAGGCGTCTGTGTTTGACAGAGGGACGTACACGTGCAGGTACAGTGCGCCCTCTGGTGCGGTGGAGGTGACGGTGCCCGTCATCGTCATAGCGTACCCCCCGAGGATCACCTCCGGACCCGCCCCCGTCACCTACACCCGCCCCGGGGCGGCCGTGGAGCTGCCCTGCCTCACCATCGCCACGCCCAGAGCCACCATCACCTGGGAAATGCCCGACATGTCCAAACTGACCGCCATGGCGCAGGCCCGGATCTACGGCAACCGCTACCTGAGTCCCCAGGGGTCCCTGGTGATCCAGAGCCCGAGCAGCAGAGACACGGGCTTTTACCGATGTACGGCCAAGAACGTGATCGGAGCAGACACCAAAACCACCTACCTGCACGTCATCTGAAACATGAACATCATGAACCACAGACACGAGAGGAACACGAGAGGAACATGAGAGGAACATGAGAGGAACATGAGAGGAACATGAGAGGAACATGAGAGGAACATGAGAGGAACATGAGAGGAACTGACCTCAGGCCCAAAGCTGCAGAGCTTCAGAACTGAACTGGACTCACGCAGAGGACAAATGTATTTTTATAATAACTTTTATCTTTATGTGAGACAGTGACTCTAAGAACTGAATCTGAATCTGGAAGAATCCAGCTCAAATCTGTTTTTGCAGCAGTTCAGGCTCCACAAAAGGAACAATTTTGTCATTTTGTGTTTTTTATCAGAAGAAAAATGTTGACGCCCCCAGAACAAAAGTGATTCTATTTCCAAAGTGAAAATCTTTTATCAGTTGTTAAAATGTCCAACATTATTCAGGTTTTAAACTTTTACACACAACATCGTTTGGTCCTTCACAGATAAAAATGTCCAGTGTTTGTCTGTTTTAATGATCAACTTTAAAATGGAAGTGAACACATGACGACTTTTGCCTCTTAGGGTCGGTTCACATGAGTAAAAACTGGGTAAAAACATTTATTTTATGTGAAGTGTTTTTCGTTTAGACGGTGACGGTGTTTTTGGGGCTTAAAAACAAAAATTTGAAACCACCTCCAGAGTGGACAAACACATTTGTTTACGTTTTACAGAAACTAAACTTAAAACCACATGACTCATTTGCATAAACTATAAGCTCTGACAAACACAGCTCTTTCCTTGTGCGCTGATGTCGGACGAAAGGACACGACTCATCTTTATTTACTGAGCAGAAGAAACATCGATCGAGATGCTGGACTTTTGCGCCACCCACGGACTGAACCAGAACTAAACCAGGACTAAACCAGCACTGAACCAGGACTAAACCAGGACTAAAACAGCACTGAACCAGGACTAAACCAGGACTAAAACAGGACTGAACCAGGACTAAACCAAGAGGATGCCAGGACTGAGCGAGGACTAAAACAGGACTAAAATAGGACTAAACCAGGACTAATCCGGGACTAAACCTGGACTAAAACGGGACTAAACCGGGACTGAACCAGGACTAAACTAAGAGTGATCTCAGGACTGAACAGGAGTAAAACAGGACTAAAACAGGACTAAACCAAGAGGATCCCAGGACTGAGCAAGGACTAAAACAGGACTAAACCGGGACTAAACCGGGACTAAACCGGGACTGAACCAGGACTAAACTAAGAGTGATCTCAGGACTGAACCAGGAGTAAAACAGGACTAAACCGGGACTGAACGAGGACTAAAACAGGACTGAACGAGGACTACATCAAGACTAAACCAGGACTAAACCAAGAGGATCCCAGGACTGAACCAGGACTAAAACAGGACTGGAGCACTGTAAAAAAACAAAACAAAAAAGCTTTCATGCTCCCAAAATCTTGTCTTAGATCACTGCTTTCGGCCCAAAACGATCGATGGTTCAGCCCTGGAACGATCCAAATAATCAGAAGCACGACACACATTTAGTTTAATCGTAGAACATAAGACATTTTTATAACAAAAACAACAACGTTAACTCGAATTCAGCTCAATTTCTCAAGGTTTATTTGGCAAAAACGTCTTTAAAAGTACGTCTTGAGTCTGAAGAATGTCCCTGTGTGGAGTTTTAGTATCTGGAGTATCTTTTGGACGAGGAGGAGGACGAGGAGGAGATGAGGAGGAGGAGGAGGGGCTCATTGGAAACACATTGCGAAGGCCGTACGTCTGTTTGCATGTTTGCACAGATCAGCTCACATAATAAACCACATGTGGAGCCGCGCACATTTCCTCGTGCGTTTGTGCCGTCTGCCTGAAAACATCGCCCCGGAGCCGGACCGCTCCCCCCGCGTGGAGACGGGACGCCGCAAAAACTCACACACGCTTTTATTTTTACGATTACAGCCCAAAATATTTCTTAAACGCTGCGAAAAACTCCTTAAAAAACAATATTCCGCATAATCACCGTTGGTTTGGAGCGTTTTATCGGGTTAGAACGTCGTCCCTCGTCAAAAAAGCCGCTGTTACGAGTGTTTTTATACGTTGTCCACGCAGGTTTGAGTAATCTAGCGATCTCTCCCGGGTCCTACTCAAACCCTGCTGACGGTTAGCGGTAAGATTTGGTACGAGGCTCCGCCCACAAGCCTAAATCATCCACGCTCGCCCACGGAACAATTCTCCATAAATATACAAAAATATGAGACAAAATTACGCACTACAACTTCACAAACCTGATGTGATGGAGCTCTGAAGGGGGAGCGACTTAGACAGGAGAGCAAAGGGAGCGGGGACTAAAAGGGGGCGGGTCTCATTCACGTTCATCAGCGTTTTGTCAATAAATGGACTTTTTTGTGACTTTTTTCCAAGCACTGACACATGAACAAGTGTTTTAAATTTAAAACGCTGATTTTGTTTAAAATATTTTACAAAAAACATTATTGGTCAGTTCGTGTGTCGTTCGTTCATTCGTTTTTCAAAATAAAACCAAAAATAAAATGAAAAAACTACGATTTTCTTCATTATTTGTCTCCAAAACCAAAATGAAAAAAAAAAACAGAAAATGATTCGGTTTTTCAGTTTTCGATTTTGTGTTTAAATGAAAAATGGAAAAAATGGACAACGGACTGAACCAGGACTAAACCAGGACTAAAACAGGACTAAACCAGGATTAAACCAGGATTAAAACCAGGACTAAAACAGGACTAAAACAGGACTAAACCAGGACTAAACCAGGACTAAACCAGGAGGACTAAACCAGGACTAAACCAGGACTAAACCAGGGCTAAACCAGGACTAAACCAGGGCTAAACCAGGACTAAACCGGACAAAACCAGGACTAAACAGGACTAAACCAGGACTAAAACAGGACTAAACAGAAAAAGGACTAAAACAGGACTAAACCAGGACTAAACCAGGACTAAACAGGACTAAAACAGGACTAAAACAGGACTAAACCAGGACTAAAACAGGACTAAACCAGGACTAAACCAGGACTGAACCAGGACTAAACCAGGACTAAAACAGAACTAAACCACGGGGCCTAAAACAGCCTTCGCCCGATCAGACTTTGCAGACACCCTGCTCCATGGACTCGAGGTTCTCCCTCCAAGATAAGTCCTGGTTTAGACCTAGTTTAATCTGGTTTTAGTCCTGGTTTAGTCTTGTTTTAGACCTGGTTCTGTCCTGGTTTAGTCCTGGTTTAAACCTGGTTTAGTTCTGGTTTAGTCTTGTTTTAGACCTGGTTCTGTCCTGGTTTAGTCTGGTTTAAACCTGGTTTAGTTCTGATTTAGTCTTGTTTTAGTCCTGGTTCAGTCCTGGTTTAGTCCTGGTTCAGTCCTGGTTCAGTCCGTTATCCGTTTTTTTCCATTTTTCATTTAAACACAAAATCGAAAACTGAAAAAAAAAAAAACAAATCTTTATCTGTTTTTTCATTTTGGTTTTGGAGACAAATAATTTTAAATAATCATTTTCTTAATTTTGATTTTATTTTGAAAAACAGATGAACGAACGACACACAGATTACGATCCCATGTTGGACCTATTTTTCCGATTTTATGTCGTTTTGAACCTGGAGTTGTTTTGTTTGTGATGCCAAGTCGTAATACAGGAAGTGCTCCACTGGGTTTTTAAACTCCACACACCTTCACTAGAATCATTTCGTTCATTTCAGCCCTTGGAATTGTCGATTTCTGCTCAAATAAATGCAAAAGGAGCTGTAAACTTGAGTAACTTTGGTGTATTTTGTGTAATATTGGACCTTTAAGTGAAACATCATCACATTTATAGTTTTTTCACGATTAAACGTTGCTTTTTGGACTTTTTATACAAAGTTGTGAGATCAAATTTGACCTGAGACAAACTGTGTAGAGCAGCAGTTTGTTGTGGCACTTTTAATTGACACAAAACAGTGGATTGATGGTTTGAGTCAACACTTTGTGGAGTGATTAATGTCAGAAATACCAGAGCAGAAGAAGAATTAGACTCGTCCCATTAGCTCCGGGTCATTAGTTACAAAAACAGCTTCGGTAAAAAACCTCACGGAAAAGTTTTCTCGGCCGAGTCGGTGTGAGTCGCACCAAAACACGGACGAGTTTAGAGAAGAAGCAGCGTTTAAAGGTTCAGTGATACACAGAGTCGAGTCTTGGGTCTCAAGTCTGAGTTTAAGTCCTGGTTCAGTCCTGGTTTAGTCCTGGTTTAGTCCTGGTTTAGTCCTGGTTTCAGTCCTGGTTCAGTCCTGGTTTAGACCTGGTTCAGTCCTGGTTTAGTCCTGGTTTCAGTCCTGGTTTAGTCCTGGTTTAGTCCTGGTTTAGTCCTGGTTCAGTCTGGTTTAGTCCTGGTTTAGTCCTGGTTTAGTCCTGGTTTCCTGGTTTAGTCCTTTAGTCCTGGTTTCAGTCCTGGTTTAGTCCTGGTTCAGTCCTGGTTTAGTCCTGGTTTAGTCCTGGTTCAGTCCTGATTCAGTCCTAGTTTTTTCCATTTTTCATTTCATCGCAAAATTGAAAAACTGAAATAAAAAATAGAATCATTATCTGTTTTCTCATTTCGGTTTTGGAGACAAATAATAAAGAAAATTGTTGTTTTTTCATTTTCTTATTTTTGGTTTTATTTTGAAAAACGAATGTCACACAGATTCTTCCCCAATCAGACATCGTAATCTGGATTATTCTAAAAAAATAAAAATAAAAACCTGAATTGTGGAACTTTTTAACCTGAGCGATGTTCCTAAATTATTGTTTTTTTTGTAAAATACTGTTTTTGTCTTTTTCATTTGTTTTTGTAAAAATATCCTATTTACTTTAACTTATTTATATTGGTTTAAACGGTTTGTTTTGTTTAATAAATAAATAAAAAAGCTGGAGACTGGTGGATTCTTGTGTCGGAGCAGCACAGACTCGACCGAGCAGGAAGTGAGTTTAGGACAAAGTTTGGAGAGACACAGGAAACGGAGATTTAGGAGACGAGGACCACGAG